AACTGCCAATGATGATTTTGTTGGTTGATTTTTGTTTTCAGAATTGAATAGATGTCGTTTGACCAACATGAGACTTTCATCTCTTCTGACCATTGATGACTACCTGTCTGTCAGTCTGTCAGTCAGTTTGCCAGCCAGTGCAATCCTACAAGCCAACTCAATGTGAAACCATACTGAGTGGTTTTGAACTATAGCCTGATGAACAAGCCAGTGAATGCCTGACTGTCAGCCAGTACATGTAAGTGACTTTGCCTGACAGTGATCATTGCATATGATTTGATCTGATGCCTCATTTTCTCAAGATCTTTGCGGCTCTTTTGAGAGCCCCAGTGGGAGGGACATACTGCCTACACGCGTTCATGTGCGGACTGCGTAAAGTATGCATGACTTATTTTATTCTGAATCTTATTAACATATTATCCTCGCAGCGGATACAGTTTAGCATTCGTTAGAACGCAAGTTTGAGACCGAGATACAACAACTAACGGACAACGGTACAGTTCTGCGATGTCTCTCCGATGAACTTTTATTGCTGACAGGAAATTTGATGGACCTAGAGTCTAATGGACTCTACAGACGTTTAATGGACGGTCCCTGACAGAGTTTACAAACGGTCCTTGACGGACTTTACGGACGGTCCTTGACAGACTTTACGGACGTTCCTTGACGGACAGACCTCTGTACATTAAGAAATAATGCAAAACATGGGTTTAAAATACTACTACTACAGTCATTGTACAATAGACCACAACACACAGTTCAAAGGTCATAGTACTGGTAACCAAAACACTATAATTTATAAAACAGTACAACAGCTGGTGCTTAATAGATGGAATATGACAGGTTACATAACACTGTTTGGGCTAGACAGAGATTTGTCCTTGTCCTCAATTCAAGGTATTTAAAGTGCCAGGAGCAAAACATTGATTGTGCCATAAGATCAGAATAACATAGTGCATTAGCTACAGCACAACTTTGAAAACAGAAACAAATAAATACACTGTCTTGACTTATCAATTGAGTAAACATCGTTTCCAAAAATACAGTACTCAATATCTGAGATTTAATTGTGGATCAAGAACACAACGAATCAAGAGCTAACCTGGATAAAGTTAAAGAACAGCCTGCACAGCTACATGTACATCATGTACATCAACTTCAACTCCAGTTGCGTAGCTGGAAGCTATATACAAAATAATGACATAATGCTTGAACAAATGGATCCATAATATTATCAATGATACACTAATTAAGATACATGTTCAATTCACATTATCAATTGAAGTTGACTGCCGAACTTATTATTGTAAATTTCTAAGTTCAAGGATGGTTAGAGTCAATAAAAGTGCAACAACTATTCACACAATAATGGCTCAGGCTGCAGATAACTTCGTGCACAGAAATGCAAACAAATGATTGAAACCATGAACCACAAATATAAGAATGAACTTCAAACAACATTTCAACTACAGAACACAAATAGCTCTCAACTAGAAACTGAGTCTCAAAATTACAACTCAAAATAACAAGGAACAAACCCCTCTATGGCTACGACATTGGCTTGGCTTCAGCTCCTGCTGGGTGTGGGTGCAGACTGGTCTTTTGGCCCTGATGCGGGATCTTAAATGGATGGATACTTACATCCATTTGCCGATTGGCTAGATATTAAATTGACTACTCCTTCCCCGTGAAATAATTTGAATATAAACTTTTTGATTGGCTAGTTTTTCAGGGAGTCCTGGGTGAATCTGCTGATCAGCAAGATTTCTTCCAGGTCCCAACAACCTCCAAACCCTAATTGATTTGTCTCCAAAGCTAGTGAAAGTGACATTCTTGCTACCAAAAATAGCTAGACAAGGGCATGGGAAGATCTCTCTAAAACAAAGCGTTTGGTTAGACCCAAGAATGAGACAGTGGTCTGCCAGGAGGTCATACCAATTACCAGCTCATTTTGGTGGTGAAAGGCTTCATGTATCCTTGAGGATAGGAAGCAACATAAAGAAGCCAATTACATGTAACATGAATAACACCTATTTTTCATTTCCCGACATTATCAAACCTGTAACATCTTCACTTGAGTGCCAGGTGTTATAAGTGATGCATTCAAGTGGTCTCCCCCAACTCTCCCTTGTAACCGTTGAGGGGGTACTTGTGCAAGCAGTCCATACCCAGAGATGCTACCCTTGATAAAGAGCTGTAGAAATGCCACCAATGTCACTTTTGTTCTTGATTGTCTGTGTTTTCACAGTTTCAAGACTTTGCCTGTATTTTCTGTATTCAAGTTCAACATGAGGCTAGTCAAGGCAGCTAGAGTGTAGGAACCCAAGCTGCCTGATGAAAGCCCAGAACAGTGACATAGGAAAATGTAATAAGAATGCATCATGTGATCTAAATGAAACTCTGCATAATGAAACACTTGAAACATGTCTAATTTTATTTGACAGTGTGCTTCTGTCCACACTTTGGGAACAGCGCCCAGTCCATTGAGGGTTGGGAGTAATTCATATGGAGAATGATAACCCATTGAGCTGGGCTTTGACAGTGGATTTCTGAAGAGATTTCCATGAGAGACATCAGAACCTTACATCCTAGATGATGGCAACCTTTCAACAGTCCGTACTCACCCAGCCAGGGAGAAAGGCAGATACAGCCAGCCTGCTACCAGCCATCTTTGTCAATCTACTGCAGATAAACAATCTCATGTAAGTACAACTTCAGTCGAGGAATGTAATCAGGGGGTGATGCACAGTGGTGGATCTTGGGGGGACGGGGTCACAAAACCCTCCCCCCCCCCACCCAACTCATTCAGCTACTGAAAAATGTTATGATACTAGTGGAATGAGGCCAAAAGTAATGAAATTTTGCCCAAAGTTCCCAAATATATTCTAAAATTGCCTTGGAATGAGGAAGGGTGCATGCCCCCAGACCGCCTAAAGCATGGGCATATGCACTTAGTAACCACACTGCCCTCATCTCCATGCATTTCCTGCAAGCTAGCTCCCCCCCCCCCCCCCCCCCCCCCGATGCATTCAGTGATGCAGTCCAGACTAACTTTGTGCAAACCCAACCCCAAACCGACCCAACCCGAAACCGACTGAGGTTCCAATCGGGTCGGTTTTTCGATCAGTTCAGTAGGGTCAGGTGAGTTGGTGATGCATTAGCGATTTTGACTTTGGGTCGGTTGAGCCATCTTGTGAAAAACCTGAAATAAACTGCAAAACAACAAAACAGTTCCATCACACACGGTATACAACATGCAGGTCTACTAGTAGGTCATGTTAGGAGTGTTCACCATACTGTACAGTATATTTCGTAACTGCAAAACGACTGCATAAAAATTCACCCAACGAGGGTAAGTTCAGGCACAAAGAGCAGTGCTCTTGAGATTGCCAAAGACAGATATATTCGGTTTTTCTTTTTTTTTCTTTTGGTGGGAGGGGTTAAGTTCAGTTTGGTTGGTTCATTTCGGTTCAAAGCAATTTTTCCCTGAATAATTGTTCGGGTCGGGTCAGATCAGGTCGGGTCAGGTCACAGGTCGGGTCAGATTTGGGGAGTCTGGATCAGTTTTGGTTTATATCTGTAATGTTTCAGCCAAGTTTGGCCTGCTACCCCGACCCGATGAACAACATTTGTCTAGACCTCCAACTCTGAGACCAAGACATTTATCGAGACCGAAACGTAGACCAAACAATGAAGAAAAGATGAATGATTTGTTTAAGTTTGAACTTTTGTTTGATGTTGGGGGGAGTTAAGGGGCTGAACACCATCTGACTATTGGGGGCGGTGTTCAGTAAGTATAATTTTGTGCACATCACATAATAGGTAGCACTGCATTCAACGTTGCATGATTTGGCCAGCAGCTGGACAATGATTTCATAAAAAAAACACCAGAAATGGCGCTCATTATAGCAGCTGTGAGGAGCTGGCATCTCCTTTCAAAATGAAAAAGCAAAATATCTGAGGGAGAAACCTCACCCTGCTGCCCCAGTGGATGGTCTACTCATCTGAAAATTAAAAAAAATAAAATTGAGTCCAATTCATCAATACTCGCATATGCACTCCCTAATTAATGCAGTTATAGTTTTCAAGAGTGATTATGTAACAAACTACCTGCACCCAACAAATAAACAATGGAAGTCATTTGTAATGATACTTGAATGGCAAATTACAAAGTTCAGAGGTAACAGGCACAGGAATGATGTCACACTTTGGACCCTCATTGTCTAGAATGACCCATATTAGTCATCAGGTGAAGATGACTAACATTGACCGTATTGCATGGTCAGGGTTCCAGCCTGGCAAATTACAAGGTACAGCCAAAGTTAATTTGTAGGGAAACGAAAAAGTGGCTTTTAAAATCCTTTTCACAGAACAGATTCTGAAAGAAATTTGTTGGAATTTCTATGAAAAATGGCCAAAGAGGCAATAATTTTCTTATTTATATCATCAGTTTTTAATATAAATGCAGAAAAATCACAGACACTTAATAATTAAGGAAGGGAGAGCCATCACCAATAGAGGGCGCTGTGGCATAATAATAATTAAGAAAGGGAGAGCCATCACCAATAGAGGGCGCTGTGGCATAATTAAATGTTGGGAATCTGATGAAAAGGTGAAACCATTGACCTTGTCATGCGCCTATGAAGACTTGCACACTGGTCCAAGAGATCTGGAATTTATTTGGCCAACTGGGAATCCACTCATAAAATTGTCTGCGTATTTATGTATCAAACAAAAATTTAAAAGGTAATCCAAAAATAATTGATGAATGTTTTTATTGCCGAAACTTGGGAAAAATTAAAGTTATTCACACATTGAACCACATGTGATAGTTTCAAGCAAATTCAACAGTGGTCCATTTCTGTTGTATGGTTCATCTGAGTTGTGGGATTCTGTTGGATTCAGGAGACTTCACTTTGTGGGTTTCTTTGGGGGTTGAGGGTTCCAAGTGGAATAGCAATATAGTTATTTTAAGGGATGATTTTCGTTTTAATTTTTAGATGAAGAAAAGAGCGACTACAAAGAACTTCAAAGAGTGGTGAGTGAACTCTTATTCTGAATAAATGAATGAATTTATTTCTGCTCAGTTCGTTTCAAACATTTGATTTTACAAGTCAATTTGAATATTTAATTGTTGCAACAGAGTTTGAAAAGTGTCATCAAAATTCAATAATTCTTTGCTGAAACTCAAACTGTATGAGGGGGTAAGTCTTTCATTGTTTTGAAGTTTTTCTGAAATGGCAACCAAATAGGTAAAACAATGAAAACAGAGGTCTGGAATTTAACTCTTGAAAAGGCAAGGCTTTTCAAGGAGCTGTCAGGCCAAAATCAAGGCAACGGAGGCCATAGCTTCCTGAAATTAAATACCATTGATTTGAACATGTGTTTAAATGATTGGCAACCTTTCACACTTGAAGAATTTGTTTACCTTCAAAGAAAAATAATAAAAATATCCTTCAAGATAATCCCTTGTTAGTAAAGTTTACACAAGTTTTTATTCTGTGAATTCAGACAGGAAACCAAATTAATAAGATAAGTATTTTTCTCATCTTTAGCAGACATTTCAATGATTAAATGATCATCCACATTAGTGTCTCATTGATATAAATGCAAGGTTTTAATAATAACAGTAAACAGATTTCTATGGAAAAACTACAAAAATGGGGGGAAAATACAAAAAGCTTTTTTTTTTTTAAAGAAACTGAATGAGTATTAAAAGACTAATTTTTAAAATTATCTTGATTACCTTTCATAGTGATGTGTATGCTTAAAGGTACATTTTGTGTAGGATCATTTGCTTTTTCCAGGGTTTTTTTCCCGAAGCAACAAAAGTGTTCAATATTTTAAGTACCAGTACGGTGCATATTAAGGTATTCTGTTTAAGTCTAATCTTAGTGGCTACTATACATTTTGAAGAAAACAAAACAATGCACAATTCTTGATTTCGTACCTGGATTCTGTAGGCATCCCATTTTGAAACCACCTTCAATGATTGTTTTCTGACAATACCATTTCAGGGGGAATTATTTCACAGGGTATTTGTTACTAGTCCTTTCTTCACTTTGAGGTTTCTGTCATTAAATCGGTAGGTACTTATCTGGGTAATTGCAAATGATCCTACGTGGCTTTAAAAAGTGAAGTTAACAGTAAAACAGAATGATGTTTTATGAAACAAATGTAATGTACAGATAGCACAGTATAGAATGAGTAGATGTACATGTACTTTTAGGAACAATACAGAGGGAATTTACAAGGTCTTGTGACCATAACACACCGGTAAAGTGGAGAACTGTTAAACAATTAAAACTCTACTTGAACATTTAAATTTTACAATTAGATTATTTATTGCAAACAAATTAATACTTTTTTGTTGAATCCGAAACTGCAATGAGAATTTTTTTCACCATTTTCAGTTAGCTGAAATGGCTACCATGCAAAGTTTTGAATCTAACTTGAAACTATACAAACAAAGGTATAGAATTTAATTCTTTAAAATGCTGATTGGTGCTGTAATGAATGGACAATTTCATCCTCAACATTTGCTGTAGGGATGATAACTGCTACATGTTTGGGCATGCATTGTTGTCAGTGTTATGTTGGATGGCATCACACCTTGTGATACATTTTGACAGAATGCCAGTCATCCACTGCCAGCTGCCCATCCGATGTGAATGTCATTGCCTGTGGGAGATACAGATCCTGTGCCAGGCAATCAAGAAACCTGCCATCTAGGTCGTAATGGTGAATATGATTAGTGCCAAACCCAGATTGCGTCACTCCAAGGTAGATACCTGACCTGTCGCAGCATACACCCTGGGTACGCAACACTGGTTGACCATCAATGGTTGGCTTGATAGTGAAGAGCGTAGTCCCTTTGCTATTGGCGACATCTACTTGATTTGTTTGACGTCCACTGATGAAAACTTTATCAGTGTCGTCATCAACAGCCAGGAACCAAGGTGGAGTCTGTACTGGTATGGTGTGTAGGATCTCACCATTAGTGGGTTTGTGTTCAGTCCACACCATCCTTCTTGTGTCACCTACTAAAATGGTTCCATTTGTCCTGACTGCTGTGCTCTGTAGGTCCACAAGTGTCTTTTCTACCTGATGGTTAGACACCGTTGGGAACTGCATAACAAGAGTGTTGTCCTTCATGTTGAACACCTTGACATACTTGCTATCAAGTTCCAACACAATCAAGCGTTTCTCAGGATTGTGCGTGGCTGCAACTGCCTGTGGTCCTGTGGGTATTAAAAGAAAAACTCAAATGTAACATATGCATAGTATATAAATGCAGCGTCACTATTCTCAGTCCTCATAAAATACCCAATGAACACATGACCTGCCTAAAATAAGCCCTGTCTAGTATTGATAAACATCGTGCAGTTGCCAACGTGATTAAATGCAAAATCTTGAGGCACACAGTTTCGCAAATACTTTTAAAGTTGTATTTGTACTCTCTGTGCTATTCTCATGGTTCAAACCTAAAAATAGATGTACATGTATTCTTATATCTAACTTGATTATTTTTTACTATTTTTTTTAGCAATGTAAAGTTGTTCAATTATGACACCCCGATTTCTGGTTTGATGTCCTCACAGTGCTAGGGTGGTAGGCCTAATCTTTGATAATGAAGCTGACATTGTCATTTTTACAACAATGATCACTAAAAGATAGCGAAAGATGAATTTTGATTTTAAAAATGGATCGTTTTCAAAGTCTCCTGACAATAACGTCCAGTTTGATGAGGTCATCCTTATGAAACTTTGGAAAATTCGTTTTATTGTGCGAAGAATATTTATGAGCAATTTGGTAGATTTTTGACAAATATTCTTTAAATATTGAAAAAAAATTCAACTTTTTGACATGCTGCTAGATAGAGGGTGCCCTCTTTTACAATTACATCATCATGAGTTTTATTAAGTTCACTTTTAGACACTGAATATATTCTGAATATTAGAATTATTACTTTTGTGAAATGCTTCCGTTTTCAAGTTGTTCATTTATCATATTGCACCTTCCCTAACCTCGGAAGTAAAGGGCAAATGGTTTTGTGCCCGGGAGTCAAAACTGTTGCCCAATAATGATAGTAATACAGCAGCATCCTGATGTTAACGAAGAGCACTGTCAATACAACATCCTGCTATTAACAGGGAAAATGTTTGACCCCAAGTCTTTGGGTTTTTTGTTGTTGTTTTCCATTACTGATAATGCAAGGTACCTGTTTTAACACAAGGTACCTGTCAAGCAAGGTAACTTGTAAAGTCCCAAGGACCTTAGCCTAGAAGTGTTCGACTAATAATAAATGTATTATAATCATCATCATCATCATCTAGCGGGTGCAACCGAGATCTCATTCACAATGCCACGCCAGGTGTCTTTATCCCTCATTATGTACGGAAGGTCTTCAATTTCACATTGGGTGTCTCTGCCAATCACATGTAGTTGAAGGGTCTTCGTCCTCTATTAGGGCATGGAAGTCTCCAACATAATACATCAGATATGACCTGGTTTACAGCATGGTAGCAGTGGCCAGCAAAGCGAACTTTCGGTTGAGCAACAATAACAGAGATAGGTGGAATGTCTCCGTAAATCGTTCTTATCTCCAGTTCTCATGCCATGAGATGTTCTGCACCCTCATAAGAAGCCAGGTGTATGTGCCATCAAGGTGATCTTGAAGCTCCTTCATTGTCCAAGTTTTGGCTCCATAGAGAAGAATGCTCTCCACACAGGCTCTGAAGAAGGCCAGCTTTGTCGATTGTGCTATACTTGATTGCCAGATGTCATGAAGCTTGTTACAGGCACTCCAGGCTCTTCCTTTGCGAGTGAAGAAGTCCTTACTGTTGGCAACATAGGACCCAAGGTACCTGAAATCACTGACCTCTCTAAGTTGGGTGTTGTCACTGGTGTATATGGGGTAGTGGCTCTCATACTCATTGATGGTGATGTTCTCGGTCTTCTTTGCATTGAAAAACAGGCCGACCTAGGCTGCAGCATTCTCGAGAAATGTTAACAGGTCTTGAGCATCATACAGTTGATCAGCCGTGCATGAGGGCCAGATCATCCGTGTAGTCAAGATCAGTGAGATGCAGGCTTTGATGACGTCTTGATTTCTTCTGCTTGATGGGTAGACCTTTAATTTGTCGTGGATGGAATCCAGACTTTGCCTAAGGATGTAGTCCAGCACAATCACAAAGAGGAATGAAGCTAAATTGTCTCCCTGAAGGATTCCTGCTATTGCTATGAAGGACCACGTATTTCTGAATGTTACAGACCCCCAAAATATACAAAATAGTTTGTCTTCCACACAAGCTGATTTGCATTACTGAAACTCTCTCAACTTCTCTGTCAGGGCACCCAGAAGACTAGCTATCTCTGTAAACCCTTTGATGAACTTTCTATAGAAAAATGCAAGGCCTACAAAGCTCCTTACATCCTGGACACACTTACATGTAGGCACTGGCCAATCTCTGATGGCCTCGACTCTCTTTGGGTCTGTGGCAACATCTGAAGAAATTATTATGGCCTAAGTAGGCCACCCACTTCTCAAAAAGGTGATACTTGCTAGGCTTAAACTTTAGCCCAGCATCTCTCAGCCCACTCAGCACTATTCTGCTCTTAACCAGTATCTACTGCTCCTGCCATTGAGAGCTGTCTGTTGTTTAACCTTTTCGAAGTGCTCTGTTTCTAGTGCAGCTCAAATATGGCTTCATATAGATTCTTTGGATGGGCTCTTTTGATGCCCTCTCTCACTGTCGGACTCTCTACTATGTCTTGGAAATGATTTTGTGCTAGATGGTCACGCTTTTGCAGTCAGCTTTTGTATAGTTTGACCCAACTCTTGTAGGCTCTCTTTAAGTCCTTGTCAGTGGTACCTCAGCTTGACAAAATAGTTCTTCCGCTGCCTGCCTGAACCAAATCTTCTCTCCAGCAAACTTGAATGGCTCACTTTACGCCTGTCTCTGTCCTGCAGGAATGTCCCTAACAATCTAAGGGCGCTCCCATGCAGATAGCTAGCAACCTGTTGCTCACTCATTG